ACCAAGATCTTTCATGTCAAAGTGCTCTTTCAGTTGAGCTAGGGCGCTATTGTACATTGCAACATCTTTCCAAAAGAATAATAAATCATCAACATAAAACAAACAGTACAGTTTCTTTTGCCCCTCCTCTTTGACAAATACACATGGATCAGCTTTCCCTTGCTGAAAACCTAGAGAAAACAATACTTCAGTGAGTTTTGTGTGCCAACACCGTGCACTTTGTTTGAGACCATAAAGGGATTTCTTCAGAGCACAAACAAATCCCTGTTTTACCTGTACGCCATCAGGTGGAAGCATATAAAGTGATTCATCTAGAGATCCGTACAGAAAAGCTGTATTAATATCATGGTGACTAATGTGTAGATTTTCCTCTGCAGCTAGCTTGAGCATAAGCCTAATGCTTTCATATCTCACTGTGGGTGAATAGGTCTCGTGATAGTCTTCACCTGGTACCTGCGCAAAACCTCTGGCTACCAATCTGGCTTTGTGTCTGACTATCTTGCCATTTTGATCTGTCTTCGCTTTGAAGACCCATTTGCTTCCAAGCAGTTTCATTCCTGGAACTACTGGAACTAGCTCCCATGTTTTGTTCCTTTCTAAGGAATCAAGCTCAGCCTTCATGGCATTTAACCATGGCTCAGCTTCCTTTGAATCCAAACCCTGGATTTCTTGGAAACTTGAAGGTTCAAATACCTTCTTGGAGCTTTTAACAGCTGTTACTGCTATCTTAGCAAACTCATCAGCAAATCTCTTTGGAGGTTTGCCTTTTGTGGCTCTCTGTGACCTACGAATTAGCCTTAAGTCTTCAACACTCTCCTCTTCCTTCTTAGGAGAAAAACGACCTATTGTGAACAATGGTTCCTCCAATTCTTGATCAGAGCTTTCAGAGGGTCGCATAGAGGCTTTCGCACTCTTGAAATCCTCTGAATCACCTGATTCAGTTTCAGATTCAGACTCAGAACCTTCATCAGTGGGTGTGGGCTGTTGTGGTTGCTTTTGACTATCCTCAGTCTCATCACCGTCATCAGGATAACATTGGAAAATTCCCACATTCTCCCCCACTTTGCATTGTACTCAACACTTCTCGTGAGCTTAATTGTCTTAGAGTCAGTCATCATTATTCTGTAAGACCCTTTCTGATAACCTAGAAAGATACCATGCAATCCACGCTTGTCTAACTTGGAGTTTTGTGGTGAGCGAACCCACATGTCAGAACCAAAAATCTTCATGTGTTTGATGTATGGCTTCTTGCCAAACATCTTCTCATAGGGGGTACAACCAATCGCTGAAGATAATCTGCGATTGTAACTGTAAACAAAACACGAGAGAGATTCGGCCCAATAACTCTCTGGAAGATTGGCATCATGCAGCAAGGTTTTTAATCCTTGAAGCAATGTCTGATTTGCCCGTTCCGCAAGTCCATTCTGCCATGGCGAGCGAGGACTAGACAAATCGTGTTGAATTCCTTTCTCAGTCAGAAAAGCTTCAAACTGCTGAGAAGTGAATTCCCCGCGATCACTGAAAAGAGTCTTTATCTTCTTACCATGCACATTTTCCAACCAAGCACAGAATTCCTTGAACCTAGGAAAAGCCTCCGATTTCTGCTTGAGATTGTACACAAAAATATATCTAGAAAATGCATCAATGAGAACCATGAAGTATCTATTTCCACCCAAAGAGGGCGATAGTGGTCCAACCAAATCAGCATGAACAACCTGGTATGGTTCTGTAGCTTTCCTACTAGACACCTTACCTTTCGCAGCCATTTTCACCTTGTTTGCTGCGCATGCTTTGCACTTCATGTGGTACCTGCAGGGTTTAATAGTCATACCTTCAACCAAGGCAGGCATTTTAGATACTGCCTCAAAATGCAAATGACCAAATTTGCGATGAAAATCGTGAATACATTCTGCATGCAAACTTTTGTTAGAACCTGCAATGCAACAAGTGTCATCCTGCACCACATCATCATAATACAAAACAAACAAATGATCAACATATTCTGCATGCAATACATAATCATTTTTCTTTGTGATGATGCACTTCTTGTTCTTGAAGGAAACGTCAATGTTCCGCTCATTCAGCTGTCCAACGCTGAGCAGATTATGTTTGGCGTCTGGCACGTAAAGCACATTCTGTATCGATAAGTCCAAACTGTGAAGAACAACAGTTCCGTAGCCTTTACTGGGAATAGTGTGGTCATCCGCCTGGTGAATCGCACCTTCCTGCGGTGTAAAAGACACAAACAGTTTCTTATCGTTGCACATGTGGTGGGTCGCCGCTGAATCAACAACGAAGAAAGATCTAGACGTCTTCTGGACCTCTGCAACCTTTGGAGTGAAGCGTGACACCATAGCCTTGTGCTGCGTTGTCCTAGACACCGGACCTTTGCCTTTGCCTCGGCCTTTTCCGCGCGATGAGCTTCGCTGCGCTGCTCTGTCTTGGCCCTGGGATGTCTGCATTCCCTCTTCATATGGCCTAGACGTCCACACGAGTAGCATTTCACTGCCTTCATAGCTTTGGCGCCATCTGGTGGTTCCACTGCACTATGGGATGACGTCTGTGAAGACTCTCCCTTGCCCATGCAGCTAGCACCCCGGCGATCTGCTTCATTTAAAATCACGGCAGTAACAAAGTCCACTGTCAGCTGAGCAGTTGGTTGCACAGCAATCTGGGTTGCAACAGACTCCCAACCTGAACCCAAAGATTGTAGTATCATGAAAGAATACACAGCCTCTGGAAAGTTGAGTCCTCTCTGTTGCAGCTCATGTCTCAGATTTTGCATCTCCATTAGATGTAAACGCACATCTCCACCTTCAGCAAGAGCCATATTATGCAGCTTGTTAAAATAAAACATAGTAGACCCAGCTTCTGTCCTTAAATGAGCCTCTCTCAGAGCGTCCCAAATTTCTCTGGCTGAGGTCTTATCACGCAATAGACAGAGCTCTTCTGGGGATACTATCAATGTAAGAGTTCCCTTGCTTTGGAATCCTTAGCTTCCCATGCATCTGTAACTGGAACTGGGGGTTCCTGTAATCACCTCAAACAAACCCTCTTTCCGCAGAATTGCCTCTGCATACTGAACCCAGTCGCTGTAATTTGTCTTGTTGAGCTTAGGAATCCCACAAGCATCCTGAAGGGCCATCATGACTCTGGCATTAGCCTTCAGCGTCATATCTATGCTGCTTTAAATCTTGCTGCGTCACTGCTGCAGCTGCTTCATTACAAAGGCACACTTAAAAGTTACTTTCGATTTCCCTAGCATAGTGACTTGTGCCTGGGAGCCTTTTGCCTATTCCCGGCAAAACCGGCTTTAAAAGTTCAAAGTCCAGCCATAAAGCCATTAATTTGAAGCTGGCAGGCTGCCCGGAGCAGTAGCACATACCTCATCAATCACTTCTACGCGCAGAGCAGATTCCTTTCCGATCCGTTCCTCTGCATTCCGATCCTCTGCCGGCACTCCGATTCGACGTCTGGAGTCCATAACCACGTGTTGATTTAAAGCAGAGTCTGTTGTGCCCAGCGGAAGGATGAGGAAAATGTGGTACATACTCTAAATTGCTTTATTTACAGTTCAAAGCTGGTATATTACAGAAAGACATCTTGCCTCTGCAAGAGCAGAAAATGCATCCTCTCTCCTCTCTCAGCTCGGAGAGAATCACAGTGAAAAACAGGAAACCAGTGTACGTCACATCCAGTCTCCCTTTCCCGTGAGAAACTCCAACAGTACAGACTGTGGAATGTAAACACTTGTCTTGTGACTGCAGTTGCTGCACAGTGAAGGAAAGCAGAAACCAACAAAACAAACCTTGTAACACAAACCTGCTATGAATATGAAATCATGACTTCCCCGTCTGAATCAGAAGTTTCAGATACTGGTCTCTCTTGTTAACAAGACTAATAAAGACATACCAGAATGCCACAGATTTATTTGTTTTGCCTCTGGTCTGTTTTGCCTCTTTCTTCATTCAAAGCCCATCTTTCTGTGAAGCCTTTGACTGACTCTTGTAATCATCACCCCATGCCCTGCTCTGCAACCAAAAGGAAACCTAATGTTTGTGCAACATTTCCCCACATTCAGACCTCATTCCCCTTACTTCTCCCATTCCGCTTTCTTATTAAAGAATTAATTGCAAGGGTTTCTGCCTCATCTTTCTGCAGCAAGCGCACCCAATTTGTCACCCTTATCTCTGCCCATGGGTGTCTGCAGAAATAATTTTGGTGGGCGGGATGGAAGGGTTATGGCATATTTACTCTTTCTATGACTCAGCCCCACACAACATAACATGGTGCTGATGAGAAGCAATGAGAAACGTTATTGGGCTGTGTCTTTTTGTGATTTACTGTATTATGTGGGATTACACCTTTCAGGACCAACTCCTAGCAAATTGCCTTATTTGCCCATTTAACCATAACAGAGTAAACCACAAGAAAAACATACAGCTTCAATTTGTCCATTGAACAATATTGGAGGTCCCTAAACCTAATTTTAAAAACCTCAAGGATAAGTTTCATACCTTTTACACAGAATCTGCTTTGTATGTAGTGAATGCCAGACATTTTTGCTAATGCTTGCTTATTGGTAACATAAAGGAAAGTATGATATGATGTGGATCATTCTTTAAACAAGAACTGGAGTTGTTGAGGGTCTTGGTCTCAATGTTCAAGCATGTCTTTTATAAATTTCCCCATAGGATAGGCCATCAACTTTTCTCCATGGGCACTCAACAAACACAAGCTAGACAATCAATCTCCATTCATTGTTGAACAGGGCCATGTCTTCACCCTGTACAAAGTGCTAAAGCGCTGTTCAATTATGCATGTTGGAGCTGGAAGTGAAAGTGCTGTAAGTGGGAAAGTAGCAGGAAACCATTGGGTGTGTTCCAATAGTTCAGTAAGGTTCTCCTTGCATATGCCACACAATCATGGCTGTATTTATTTGGTATTTTTGGCCACAACTCATGCCAAGCAACAGATCCATCTCCAAAGCTTTCAAAGACTGCATAGCTCAGTTGCTTAGAGCATGGTGCTGATAATGCCAAGGTCACAGGTTTGATCCCCTCATGGGACAACTGCATATTCCTGCATTGCAGGGAGTTGGACGAGATGATCCTCAGGATCCCTTCCAACTCCACAATTCTATGATTCTGTGAAATTTGCAAAATTCTTGAAGAGAATTGGCACAGCCTTGAAAGCGCATCAGTGTGGTACATCTGAGACAGATGTAGTTTCAGCAAACTGTAAACAGGTTGGTCTTCTTCCCGGAAACAAGACCTAAGCAAACCCAAATAGGGAATGTAGAGGACTGCAGGGAGAACTCTTCTGTGGGTTAGTTGGCACTTTCCTCCCTGTTTTGGGTTTGTCTGGGTGCTTAAACTTCAACATCATCTGCCAGTTTCTTGCTCTTTTATATTACTGTGCTAAAAGTCCCTCCTTTGCTTCCCTGAGTTGTTCCATTATCCACAACAATTCATACATGTGAAAATTTGTGCTGCTTACATCCCTACAGAAAGTTATGACTTCAGGCATGATAATATAGGTCCAAGAGCATTTCACTATACACAGTTTTCTAAAATATTCTCATTGGTTAGTATACACTGATATTTTTTGAAAGGACTTGTATATTGTTCTCTTCTCTGGCCACTAATATGAGGGGTACAGGGCAATGAGGCCTGCCAACTCCTATTTAATTCTCACAGTAGCCCTGTGAGATATAGCACCTGCCTGAGACCCTGAAGTCTGCCCTATTTTGGAATCTCCTGGTATAGACTAAAACCCTCGCAGTTGTTGCTTGCATCGTTCTGAACCATTGCCCAGCGGAGAAAGGTAAAATTGGCAACATGACTTAAAAGGCTATCCATTAGGATCATCAAGTGGAATGCAGGCAGGATTAATAAGGTATGATCCATTACAGTAATATGACAAGGGAAGATGGAATATATTGTGTAATGCTCTGTACATGAATTATACACTGTTCATTAGGGGACCGGTCTAAAGCTATGAAGTCAATGGAAAGACTCATTGACCTCTTTGGGAGTCTGGACAAGTTCTGTAACATCACTAGATTCATAGCTACTGGGGGAAGTGTGTCTAGAGTTATACAATGGAAGCAGTGTTTTTAAAATGTATGATCATTGCTTTTAAATCACTGGGATATAATTAGGTAGTCTGGCTAAATGCATTCAATACTGTATTGATTTTAAATTTCCTGCAAGACATTTTTACTATGCTACATACAATTATACAGCTAGATATCGTCATTCTCTCAGGTTAACTGTGTTGAGTACCTGAGGTTCCCCTGTTTTCCATTAGTTAAATCTATGAGTAGGTTTGGTTTAGTTATGGATCTATTATATTTGCATCTCAACCTTCCATCCAAGATCGAGTATCTTGCAGAAACCATATACTTCCAGATGTTGTTGGACTACAGCTTCCATCACCTCTGACCATTAGTCATGCTGACTGCATCTGATGGGAGGTGGAGTCCAGTAGCATCTGAAGGGCTGTAATATCCTCACCTCTGGTATATGGTTGTCTCATTTTACCTGATGATGACAACCCTGTGAGATCGCTGAAGGCCAACCTTGAACCTTGTCTCCCAGTTTAGCACTCCATACACTAAACTGAACTAGTTTTCTTGATGTAAAGTCTTGGAAAAGACTTGTGTATAGATGTTGTTTCTGTTGGGAGTCAAGCAGCAACACTTACAATAAGTTACACAAACCAGTCAGGGTGATAGGCAGAAAGACAGCCTATTCTTTCCTCACAAATTCCTTCATAAGTAACTTCATGTAGATTGTTTTTTTCTTCCTCCTTTACTTCCTTTCTGCGTCTTCTTCAAGTCAGTATGCATATTAACTTCTTGATGCCATGTTGGCTGCATGTCAGCTTGTACTCAAAATTGCTATGTTTGCCATGAAAAATAAACCTTCAGTTTCTTTATCCCTTCAGCCAGCAATTGTACCAGATTATATATTTATGCACATCATCATGTATATTTATTTATACCCTGCCTTTTTCCCTGACGAGAATCAATATATGCCAAACTCTTGACAGTTTCTGTATGAGGTATGATGTGAACATCAATTGGTTCATCTGCAAGTGATGGCTGTTCTGAGTATAATGTCATTTAGCTACCTTCTTGCATGGGCCCATGTGGGGCATTGGGAGGGGGCAAGACATTGCAGAATCAAGTCCCACCTCTTCCTTCAGTTTGCAATGACATTCCACAGAACATTCTACAGCTAAATCGCAAGCATGTTTTACTCATAAGTAAATAGCACCAAGTACAACAGGACAAGTGTCCTTACAGATAAATCTGTTTGTGACATGTCAACCAGGTTTTTTGTTGCTTGCTTGGTTGGTTTTTGATTCCTAGAACTGGGATTTTACTTCATTTATTTACTGAATGCTCCACTAGAATGTTGAATGGCAGCCTGTCTCATTCTCTGGCACAGATAAGAAGGAGGGACAGATATTCCCAAATCCCATTAAGGAACCAAGTCTACTTTTCCTCCCAAAGTATTTAGCTAGTCCATGGAATCAAGACTGCACATCTTGCAGCACCATGATCTGCCTTGTGTCTATTAAGCTAATCTCAGCTCTTATGATTTTCTTGCCTGCAGCAGCCTTGATGCATTCATTATATTTGGGGGCTGTGTAGAGTCCATGCTAAAAATAAATTAGTGCATCCAAATCCTACACCAACACCCCCCACAAGAATCCTGCTTTTAAAAAATTATGCAGTCAAGCAAACGTGGTGCATGTATTTGCTTATCTTACATAAATCTTTTTCTGCCCTTTTTGCTCCTGTGCATAAAACTCTGAAAATCTAATAACAAGAGAAACCTTTCTTAACAGATCTGTCTTTCCAGCAGAAAATCACCTACTGTGACAGGGAACAGATTTCTAGGTCCTCCAGCAGAAGGTGTCCAACATCACCTCATAGCTGGAGATACCAGCGACTGTACTGGGGGCCCTTTGCACACAAAATGTGCTCCACTACTAAGCCATGGTCTCTCCCCTAGTTAACTACACCTCTTGCCCCAGTCACTGAAAATGCTAAGGAAGGCTTGTGTTTTCATGGAAAAGGTCCCAGGTAAAAACGGAAGAAGAAGAAGAAGAAGAAGAAGAAGAAGAAGAAGAAGAAGAAGAATAGTAGTAGTAGTAGTTTGGATTTGATATCCCACTTTATCACTACCCGAAGGAGTCTCAAAGCGGCTAACATTCTCCTTTCCCTTCCTCCCCCACAACAAACATTCTGTGAGGTGAGTGGGGCTGAGAGACTTCAGAGAAGTGTGACTGGCCCAAGGTCACCCAGCAGCTGCATGTGGAGGAGCGGGGACGCGAACCCGGTTCACCAGATTATGAGTCCACTGCATTTAACCACTACACCACACTGGATCTCCAGGACAAACTGGAACAGACCCCTATCTGAGAGCAGCTGCCGGAGAGAGTAGGCAATAGTGAGTTTAATAGATGAATAGTCTGACTCACTTGAATACAGATTCCTGTGTTATGTCCTTATGTGCTACTCAGTCACTGCCCCCTGTCCAGGCCTTTGTAGGTGGATGTAGTATTTCAACTCCCAACTCAGTTTTTGCCAGTCTTTTAACATTCCTCAGATAAAAATAAGGACATTTCCAGCTCCCCCCATAACTGACCCTCCTTGACCCTTGTTATGTATTCGGTGGTCTGTGTTTGCCTGAGCTTGAGTCTGGACCGAGGATTCTGAGCCCCTGTGTTCTGATTTGGTACATGATATCCAATCACAGAACATTTCAGGATTTGGCCCTCTGCCATGGGCCCTGAACCTGAGAGTCATGATGCGCAGCTTGGAAGTTTAGACAGCCAATCAGCTTGGGAGTGAGAGTGGCCCAGGCCTTCGGAAATGTATATAAGCAGTTGCTTTGTCCCTGTTGTTCAGTTCTGTTAATTCAAATCAGTGGTACCTCAGGTTAAGTACTTAATTCGTTCTGAAGGTCCGTTCTTAACCTGAAACTGTTCTTAACCTGAAGCACCACTTTAGCTAATGGGGCCTCCCGCTGCCGCTGTGCCACCGGAGCACGATTTCTGTTCTCATCCTGAAGCAAAGTTTTTAACCTGAAGCCCTATTTCTGGGTTAGCGGAGTCTGTAACCTGAAGCGTATGTAACCTGAGGTACCACTGTAAACGTTCTTGCTGTTATCACTGTGTCTTGCCTCATGGGAACCAACCTACACTTTAAAAAAAAACACCCCATTTTTGTGTGTGTCCCCCAAGCACGGTAAATGCCACTGCCACTGCTCTAAGGGGACACAGCACACACGTCCTCCACTGTCCTGAGAAAACCCATTAATCCCGATTTCATTTCATTTTATTCTTTGGTAGATTTACAAAAAACAAAAACAGATAACAATAAATAAATTTTAGAAAGCAGCAAAATTAGATGCGGATGCACAAAGCTTTTTTTATTATTATCAAGTTTTCCAGTCTGCTTCCCATTTCTTCCCGTCCAAGGTGGCACTGCCCTCTGCCTGCCCCTCAGAGTTGGCACATCACATCCCATAGGCCTGGGCTGCAGCTCCTCCTTTTCTTCTCCCACTCTGCAACAGCTGCTACTAGCTGCCCAAGGGAGGAGCACTCACGGAAAGGCCATGGTGTTGGAGTGGATGGAGTCAACGGAATCAGTTCACTGTCTTATCCATCTCCAAGCAACTCCCTGGATGTGTGCGTGAAGGTTCTTTGCTGGCAGGAGGCAACGTTCAAGTCATGCCAGTGGCACTGAGACAGGCTTTGCCCCTGACACTTGGCTCTTTCCCTCCCCTGGATCTGGCTCAATGCCTCTAGGTTTCTCCTCAGGATCAAATCCTCCGCTTCCAGATTCTCATCCCAATCTTCTTCCCCCTCTGACCAAACCTAGCAAGACATCTACATGGAAGTCACAACACTTTCCTTCTTTTGAGATTTCACCAGGTATTGCTCACTCTCATGCTTATCTCTTCAATCTTAGAAGCTGGAAACTTACACCAATGTCGGGATTCTGAAGATGCTGAACGCCACACCAGACTTGTACTCTCTTCTCTGTGCAGCA